AACTCTCGATCTGCCAATGAATTTCGGTTGATATAATTTTTAATCTGCAATTGTCCCAGGGAGAAGTTGTTTGTTAAATCCTTGAGTGGTGCTTATCCTGAAGAAGCTCTTGTTGGGAAGGAAAAGCTCCTCTGGTCCAGAAGAAATAAAATGTCTCTAAATAATTTAACTCGCACCCCCGAATAACTTGAACTTGATGCTCTTGAGATTCTGCAAACTCGTGTTGTATTCGATGTGAAGAGACACTGACCTGAGGGCTTTCGGACCCATGTATGTGGTCAAACTTTTATCAACACCTCGAAAATCGTTGAGCGGATTATCACAAAAATATAACGACTATTTGTAAACGTCCCGTACGAGAGTCAATACCGAACTGAATGGCAAAGCGGGAAGGGAGGATTTCCTGCGCGTTTGTTCTCCATCAATTTTCAGGCCCCTGATTGGTCCTCATCGCGGCACAACTGCGCATGTATGCCATACGTTTCATTTTTTCCTCCCTCGATTTTTCCTCTACCACCCGATTTTTTCAATAAATATTCCGCAAACAATTAAACAAATAAATCACGAGGTGACAATTTTTTATCGTTCATTAGACAAATAATCCAGCAATAATTAATACCAATTATCGTTATGAAAACCGTGAAATAAATAAACACTTGTTAACAATGAAAAACACAACAAATTAATTAATTGATTAAAATAAATAAATGTGCATATAAAAAATGTTGAAAAAAGGGTAAAATAATTTGTTAAAAATTCTTCCTCAAATTAACTAAATCATTATTTTTCGCTATTTCCCCTGGGGGTGGGTGGGGGGTAGTAGGGGGTGTTGTTGCATGTCAGGCACCGGACGGAAGCCCAAGAAAAAAATTGAATCGTCGGTAAGTGTGTCACAGATAATTATATCAAATTTTTTTAGTTGAATTGTCTGAGGGCCTCGATGGGGCCGATCGATGGCGGTGGAATTTTTTTTTTAGGGGTTGAATAGGAGACATGAGGGGCGAAAGGGACGGAAGGGGCGGTAGGGATCGACGGGGTGGAAAGCGCGGTGGGATCAACGGGGAGGTAGGGGCAAAAGGGCAGGAGGGGCAAGAAGGGGCAAGGAGGGGCAAGGAGGGGCGGGTGCCAGGCGGACTGAATCGTTTACCACCCTCCACCCTCTGTACGCACTTGATTGTACGATGACGTAACAGGAGTATCTCTTTACTTCGGTGTTTTTCTCATGCTCCGGGGTCATGTATTCAGGCTACCCCTTGAAACCCGGTTTCACCCTTGTGCGCAGAAGGCGTACACACCCCCTCTGACGTCGACAATTTCACTCTGGGGTGAATGTGGATTTGCGTGTGGAGAGGGTGCATCTGCTTGGTTCACATTAGGGTGATCTATCAACGGGTTATGCAATAGTGGAGTAACCTTATGACCCTGTTGCACCGTTAAAATTTATTTATCATTTATTTAATTGTTATTATAGATTCCATTACAAAATAATTCCCAAAATCACAAAATTTCTGGGGATCCACCAAAAATAATTCATCATCTTAATTAATTTTTTTATTATTGAAAATAATCATTTATTAGTGGTTAATAATAAATTTTATTGTAGAAAAGTGATTAGGGTAATGAGTGCAAAGTTTTGAGTGGATTAATAATTTTATTGTTTTTTTAATTTACATTGCGGAAATTGTCGACCAGGAAATGATGGGAAATAGGAATAAAGAATAAGGAATAAGGAAATAACAAACTATGAGCAATTGCGGAGATTTTAATCATGACGTCAGGGTACAACTCGGTTTTGCGCATTATTGCGGTGTCGTAATGTATTTTCTGCTGATAAATGTCATTGTAAATATAAATACCGAAGGTTGACGTGTCTTAGTGAGCGACAATTAGTGTCGTCTACCTCTACCTCAATGAGAATTTGTTTATCAATCCAGAGATTTGTTTATGAATCCTTTCCTCGTCCGATATTTTACAACTCATTCTTCCGAGCAGTACGTTATATCTGTAAGATAATAATATTTGATGACATCGTAACGATTGTAATACTGCGAAATCAATCGATCAGGATTAATTAACAGAAATATTACCCGAGGGTGTGACAGATAATATCCAATCGATATAAGCCCCGATTCTCGTATTGACAGCTGGTTTGTCATCCAAAGCACAACCGGTACTGTCAATTACGATTCCAGCGAATACCAGTCGTTTAGTCACATGATTTCTCCACAGTACGGGGCCCCCGTTATCAAACTACAAAAAAAATCATTCAGCGAAATTCAGGGATAGATAAGAAATAGTACTACTGCACTGAAAAAAAATTTTCTTTAGTCAAGAATATTTATTAACCACAAGAAAATATATTTGGCAAATAGGCATATGGCAATTAGTAAGTCTTATG